CTACTCGCCGCTGTCGCTGCTCGCAAGCGCTGCCTCTGTCGCCGCTCGCGCCTCTCGCTGCTCGCCGCTCCTGCTCCAGCTGCCGCTACTCGCCGCTGTCGTTGCTCGCAAACGCTGTCGCTGTCGCTGCTCGTCGCTCCCACTCCCTTTCCCGCTGCCGCTGCTGCTACCACTACTGTTGCTCGCCGCTGTCGCCGCTGCTTCCTCGTTTCTTAGTCAGCAGGCTCAATATACAGTATACTGTTAATATTAAGTTTATTTGAAATGATTAATTTCTAATACTGTTAATAGATTTTCTTAATTTAATAGCATATTTTTATTTAAAATTTTAAATAATTATATTTATTAATTATATTATATATTTTTATATTTTAGCGCCTCGCTTCGCTCGGGCGAGCGCCTAGCGCCTCGGGCGTTTTTGGATCTTAGCGCCTAGCGCTTTTTAAATCACTGGGCACTATTAACTCAGCCATATTTTATCATGTCAATGCAACCATCAGAATAGATAATGGGGAGACAGCTGGTAATTCCTCATTTAACCATCAAGCTCCATTTTATTTGGTCTCAATTTTAAAAATTCTATTTTAAAGTTACAAAATCTTGACTTGCAAGGTCCAATGAGCTAAAAGGACAGTAATATGGATTAGGTATTCCTACCGTCAAGCTGGCCCTTCAGATCCTTTACAGAATATACATTTGTACTAGAATTAAATAAAATCATAGGACTCCTGATCAACGTCTCTCTAAACATACAGCAAATCAGGACACAATTTGAGATAAATCTACGACAAACATCTCAACTGAAAACCAACTCCAAGTAATGATTTTACAAGAAGTTGGACATATGATAGCCAATTTTATGGTATTAGGTTTTTGAACTTCATCCATGACAAGCTAATTGATATATTTCTTGGAAGTATAATAAAAAAAATTAAAAAAGTTTATTGAAAGTAGTTATGCTTAGGTGACCATGCAACTGCATAATTAACAATTGGGAGTAGTCATTTAAAAAGTGTTAGACGTCAAAGTCTCAAAACGCCTAAGGTGCTAGGCACTTGCTCGGGCGAAGCGAGACGCTCTAAAATATTAAAATATAAAAAATATATAATATAATTATTTAAATAATAATATGATATTAAATTAAAAGTATAATGTTAATAGTATATTACTTACTGTTAACTACTATTAGAGGGGGAGAAAAGAACTATTAACAATAGTATATTTCCAGAAGCAAGATCGCTAAATCATATATATATATATATATATATGCACGCATGCTGGTGTACTGTAACCATGTTTATTAGAAACACATCAAGTGAGGCAACTTTCTGTAATACAAATAAATACCCACTTAAATTATAGTGATGACAGTCATTCAAGGAACCCTAAAATGTAGATGTTATATACGTCAAGAATATAACATCTACATTTTTTAAATCATAAACAAAGACATACTACCACTTCAACAGATACTGAAATTGTTCTTGATCTGCAAAAGACTTTGCATGTCATGCTAAAATGTTGAGATTGAACGTTGTATTCAAGCTGGTTAATGTCAGGCGTCAAAAGGTTTAATGGCAGCATGAAATAGCACATGGAAAGATTAATGATAAGCTCTAAAAAAAAAAATCTTAAGTCACAAACATTCAAGGCCTCAAGTTCCAAGCCACTAAGTACACAAGCACCATAAATTAATAATGTTTTATAACTCAAGTGTCAGTAAATTGAGACCATCAATTAGGTTGTTGGAGGTTGAGGTAATTAATTAATAAGTCAGTGGTTGAGATATTTAATTTAAAAGTCACTTATAAAAGGAGAGGGGAAGGAAACTTGTGAGGTAACCATGAATTAAACCATCCACATATATGAATTGTATTTGAGCTCTTAGCTCTTAGTTATTCCACAGGAAGAAAAATGTAGTTTGTTTTCTCTTATTCCAAAATTCTTTTGGCTTCTTCTCTCCTAGTTCCACATCACTGATCATAGGATAAAGCTTTTTGAGTTGGAATTCTTGAGTTACTTCCTACAATATTCCTACAATATTACCTAGGAGATCAACCAAAGTGATCCAAAAGACCTACTAACGGGTAATATGTCTTTATGACTTGCCTCGTTCTCATCCATCAGAAGATTGGCAGCCTTCAGATCCCGGTGGATAATGTTATTTTGGTGCAAGTAGTTCATTCCCTTTGAGACATCAATTGCTACTCGTAGCAAAGCTGGAAGCTTAAAGACTCCCTTCTGTTTGTGAAGGAAGTCATAGACACTTCCCCCTGACATAAACTCTGAAAATAAAAAATAATACATAAGCCATGAGAAAAGCTCTTAGAAGCAACCTTAATCTTGAAAAACAAATAGCCAGACATAAGCAAGCTTCACTAGATCTTACTACCTGTAACAATACATAAACTAGGAGGTTTGGTACATGCACCAATGAACTGCACCACATTCTTGTGGCGAACCTTCCTGCAAAACCAACAAAAATTAATATAAAAATGATGAGAATCGATGGACTGCCCCACATTGCATAATCAAGAGATACAGAAGCAGGTTAAGGAAAAGTTAAATGGAAGAAAACACAATCTAGATCAACACAAGTGGAAGACAGTTTAAGGCAGGCAAATCATCACTAAAAAAAGAATAAGAGAAAATAATCTCTGATTGCTTCAAGGCAAAAGAAAAGACAAACTTTAAAAATCCATACTGAAGTACAAACTGAAATAATAAATGATTTTAGATTTCACCAAATTCAAACTACATCCCATCCTTAAACTCAAAAGTCAAAACTTGCCTCCACAAGAAAACACAACTCAATGCAGGCAATTAGACTGCCAAAACATCATCTGATTCTCCTAATTAATGATTATTTAGAAAATAATTATTGCTCAGCAGTGTCAAAGTCTCATCTAAATATGTTGTATGCTTTCTGTACAAGTGTATGATACAATAAGCATGTCACATCTGAGATTACCGCTTAGCTATTTTGGTGAAACTTTAATTCATTGAGGTCATTAGGTGAAGGGAAGATAAGTAGCTATTACTGCTAGAAGATAGAAATTTCATTCACTAACCGCATGATAAAGACTTCCTGAGCAAATTCTCGCTGCATATCAACATTTACACGCTCAGGCTTCAGTATTTTAATTGCCACATCTTGACTACAATATGTTCCACGATAACTGGAAACAAAGAACATTAGTGATTAGCCAGGAACCACATGATAACGTCCTAACCAGATTTTCTGTGTGGTTTACGAGTGAAACTTACAGATCACCATATGACCCAGATGCTACTTTACATCCAAACTTCAGCAGCTGAAAATCAATCTCCCATACATCAGTCCCATCTGTTGGTATTGGGACATGGTCAGGCAGAGCGCCCTCTCCAGTTTGCGCATTTTCAAGTTGAGGAGACCATGGATGAGACTTTGACCAAGCTTGTCTCTAACAGAAAGTGTTCAACAAACTTAAGCATTGCAGTATTATATCACAAAACTCTTTTCTAAAGGCATCAAAACCAAACAATGACACAGTATATGTGTGTGTATGTGTGTATGTCTGTACGTAGGTTCATCACAAAGTACATGCAATTGAAGAATAATACCACATTGAAGAATCAACCATTAAACCACATGTTAAAACGAATTATCACAACTGCTAAGATGACAGTACAGATGACACTAATACTGGCAAAAATAAACATATGAACTCCTCTTATTATTTAGCGCTATATACTGTTCAGTGTCTATGCAAGAGTTTGTAGGAAAAAAGCTCATGCAAATAAATAAAGAAGCATGAAGCATATTAATAGAAAAGAAAAAACAGATACTGGTAACATTAACTGAATAGGTAACAGCAGATTCTGTACTGTTATATACCTCATTTTTACTGTGAAAAGATATATGATTATGAATTTAATGATTTTAAAAGATGATCCACTCTTGTTAGTGCTTCAAATGTAAAACACAAAGGAACACTGCTATAATATGAATAGATCTAAAGAAAAATTCAACAGACCTTCTAGAAAATATTAATGTCATTTTTGAAGTTCAGATGAGAAATTTTCAACCAAGCAACAACTTTATTAGAGAAAATAGGTAAGCCAAATCATGACCAATCAGATGAGAGGTAACCATATAAGAGCTTTGCTTCAATTAACATAACCACTATACAACTTGCATTTTTACTTTCATCGAATTCAAAACTTATATCATTAAAATAATCTTGTAACATATAACTCTTTCTTCAACTACTTAGGTTTGCATCTTGAAATCCTTTTCTTGTGTCAAGCAAAAAACTTGAGAGCAACATTACCAAATAAGACTCTAGACAATCTAGAGTAACATTCCTTTTGAAATGTTCAAGTTATTTAACCTCCCTACAGTAATGAATGTAAACAGTATAGGCCTTCAACAATGGAGCCAATAAAGATCCAAATGTATGAAAAAGAATTAGAATTACCCCTATCTTTTGAAGTTCCTTCTGCAACGAGTCCCTAAGCCGCTCAGTCTCCTAGATATTATAAAGAATGAGTGAGCATCAATACGACAGTATCCGGTGACAGCCCACACAGGATACAGTAGAAAACAGTCATAGATATGACAATACAGAAAACAAGACAGGGTACACATAAGTGGATTAACATTATATTCCATGAAAAAGCAACAAAATACAGTACAAAAATCAACAATTTGAACTGCTTCCATGATCAAACTACAATAAAACTTGATACAAAAATGGAAATTGTAATAAAGGTCATTAACTTGTCAAGCCCTAGTAACATATTACTAAATAGATAAGGATTCTAGTGATATAGCATTCTATCAATACAAAATAATCATTTTCAATGATGTTAAGATCCATTACCAAAAGATCTTAGAAAACTTAGATTCCCAAGTGACTTCTTGGGGTCCAAAATTTGTTTTTAAAAAATACCAAAATACTGATTACTAATGTAAAACTTGATCCCTTGAATAAAATACTCATGTCAACAAAAACTTCCCGATAACTCATCTAATGCCCAGCAACTATAGTCTGGCTTATCAGATTTACTACCACTTAATATTTCTTATCCGTATTTTAATCCTGTGATTACTGCTATGTAAATGCAAGGGAGTTAATTATGTCTATAACTAAGAATGTGTGCAATGCATCTATAAAGAATTTCAATGCACTTTTATGTTCTAAATTCTCAATGCTAGAAAAAAGTTATTCCTCAAAGCCTAAGCATAAACCAGAACCAAAAGTCATGATCCATTCTAAAGAAGGATATCCTTTATGACATCACTAAAAAGTAGGTCACTTTAGAATGCCAATACCATAAAAAATGTATTCCTCATAAAAAGAATATAATAATTATCTATATAGAAGAAAAGCAAATTGCAAGATGTTAGAAGCTTATGAAAATAGTTCCAAAGCCAGCTAATTTGGCAGATGAAACAAACCTGTCTCATTCCAGAGCATGATATGTTGTTAAGATCAAGAGAACAATAGAAGGGACACTTACTGTCCAAAACTAAGATTCAATATGATTTAATGAACTGGCACTGACTAAGGAGAATGTGTTGTCCTTATAACATTGTAAATTGATGTTTTAACCACAACTAACATTTCCATCAAGGACTATCTTTATATAATTCACATATTAACTTAAACATTTTGTGCTAGTAAATTCGTATGTCAAAATTATTGGATTCTTAAACTTCAACTATCTACTATCATCGAGAAGTATTAATGCAACTAAACTGCCAAAAGTACATCCTTCTACACTCATGCTTAGATAATTTCATTGTGAGCTATTTACTTCAGGTTTTCACAAAACAGCTTCAGATTATTTGTTTCAAACTGTTAAAAAAGCACTCTTGAGTGAGGACATCAAAGAAATGAAATTTTGATTTTTCTTTTTTCAATTTTATCATGGAAATTTTACATAACATGAAGGTAACTTTACCTATTATCTCCAAAATATAGTCCAAGGACAAAACATCAATGCTAACTTTCCTAATCTTCTGGCCCAACTATGCAGATACAAAACCTCAGCTGAGGCTACCTGACCTGAATTCCAACCTTGAATAGAGGTATTAAACTAATGAAGCCTACGTCAATATTACAGGAACAAAGAATTTTCAATATACATAATTGTTTATAATATCATAGTGCAAAGTCGCATAAGTGACCTATACCTACACGCAAAGCCAAGGACTCAAGAAGTGAGGCATCAGTTACATCCTTTAATGTTCAGCTATCCTTCCAAATATGCACTTTCAAAATAAAGAACAAAAACATAATCACCTGCAATTGAGTAATTTAAGTGCATCATGCATACCTAAAACCATGGTTTGATGTAGTGCCCAAAATGGTCCATCAATTGACTGGTATGTGAGCCCGTTTCGGGTGGTACATTGTAAGGGGCGTACCAAGTTGTATGCCTATTGTATTGCCCAACACGATTGAAACTCGATGATTAAAAATCGATACAGGTCAGTAACGATTGGATTTTTACTACACAGATCAGCATTCAAATCAGGTCCCAATAGTCAATTTGGTCCCTTACTCTCATTCTCATTCTTTCTCACACTCGCATGTTTAATCTTCCTAATCTGTGATCAGTGGAGATTAACCTCAGTCTCACTATTCCTCACACTGTCACTTGTTTAATCTTCCTAGTCAACAAACAGTGGAGATCAACAGCTCATTCCTAATCAGCAATCAGTGGAGATCAACCTCTCATTCTTATTCTTTCTCACACTCTCACTTGTTTAATCCTCCTAATCGGCGATCAATGGAGATCAACCTCTTGATTTGAATAAAAGAGGGATTGGAACTCTTTCTTTATAGGTGATTCAAGATAAACAGAAGCATCTTCCTTCGACGGATGATTATGCAACAAAGTTGTTCCTCAACAAATCAGAAAAGGTATAGATAATTTTTTATTCCTTATAACGTAGAATTTATATTCATCAATGGCTTAGATACACCTATTATTATCTAAATATAATTCATATACAAAGAATTTAGGAGAAAAAAAACCCTAACATAGGGTTTTCATTTTAGGCCATTTCTGGCCCCTTTTCTGGAAGATCGGTACAGTACCAACTTGTATGTACCTGTCCGTCCGAAGACCAATACAGTTGGTCCTCACAAGAAAGACAGATACAGCCGGTTGGCACGAGAAGGCATTCCTTGCCTAAAACTACTAGTACCCAACGATGATCATGTAAACGACAGAAATTGTTATAAATGAGTCTCCTGAAATACAAATAATAGAATACATAGAGCATAGTGTAAATTATGCAATAACTATTAATTGTTAATGGTTGGTATGCATAAAAAAAAAATGAATTGAACACAATAGTTCACATTATGTTTATGATGACTAAATATCAAAGAGACCACTTAACTTAAATAACATAAAGTTCCAAAGAAAGAAGAATGTATTCAAGTTAGTACCTCATAAAGCCAACCATCAACAACAAAGACATCCAATGAGTAACCATCATTTGTTGAAAATGCATGCGCTTCTTGAATATTAAGGCCAAGCTCAGCAAGCAAAGAAGTCAGCTGCAATACAAGAATAAACAGATGTACAAAAATTCACTTCAAGTTACAAGAAAAACCAAAAGACTCAAGAACTTCAATCAATAATTGATTACAAATGTCACAATTTTAGCATTAGCAAATAGCAAAAGAGAATACAATGGAAAAAAAAAATTACTCGGTCTGGGGATGTGAAGAATACAGTTGCTCGTGCTAGAAGTCCATTCATACAGAAACATCTTTTAGACTTCAATCATACAACAGATAGTGCAATCATCCAATAGTTGACAGAGATGAAGAAGAACAATTTTAGAATTTAAAACTAGCTTTAAATTCAACTAAATGAGAAAGACATCGGTGACTACTGACTGGTGTACACCGGTACAGTACCAGTCTGAGCCCTGACTGGTATAATACCACTTGCAAAATTGCGAACATTGCCGATACCAAAATAAAAGTAAAGAATAAAAACTAGATACCAACAGGTAACCCATAGTGGACTGATTGATAATTAATTCCTTGGTCTGATTAGAATCAGAATCTTCTACCAAAGATCGTGCTGGCCACAACATATCACTATCATCTTGCAAAAAAATTAGTCTGACAACCTATAGCTGAGTGTTTATTGAGCAGAAAACCAGCACAAATTGTTTCAAAGAAAAAACATCAACCCATTTATGTCTTTACAGAAACGGGATCCAAAAGCAATAGAAATGGAGTTGAAATATTCCATCAAGCATGATCCATTGAAAAAATAAATGATGGAGAACTTCACCCGAAAGAACAATTATTCCCCAACTTATGAACCCAGAATTTTATGTTGAAGCAAGAGAGAGTGGCAGGCCCATTTGGATTGGGACTCTGATCAATAAACACAAACTGTCCAACAACAGACTTATCAAATTAGCTTAATCATTGAAAGAAAGGGCAACAATTAGCTAAAAATTGTTTAACTAATTTCCAGAGTTAGAAAAAAAAATCCAGTGATTCTCTGTCAAACATATTAAAGTTTATTAAGTTACACTTGATAGCTCTGTTGGCCAATTGATACAATTATCAGAATTGAGCACATTAAATGATGGATGCTTATAATAAAAACTTATTTGAGATTTGTCATTTTAAAACATGTTCAAAACTGTCTTAGCCACTTTTGTTGTTTATTTTATTGCAAAGATAGAGGAGTATTTCCTGACATAAGATATATACGACATTCATGCCAGCCACCAGCTCATGTAGTTCAAACTTCAAACTTCAAACTATAATTCTACAAAGAATCAAAATGCATGCACCGAAGCAAATCAAATGATAGTCAGTAAGGCTGATCTAGATGATCAAGTGGGTCTATGAAGAAAAATGTCCAAAAAGAGTAACATTTGAAAGACCAAGATTGCTTTGAGAGTTAAGAACCATATAGATTGGAACCTATGCTGACGTAGCGGGTAAACATCAGTGATACTAGGGTCAGTCAGTCCATTGATTTCACCCAAAACGAACACTCAATGCTGGATCAACAGAACCAGGCCGCTCTCTTCTGAAGCAATCAGCATAACTTGATTTTTTTCCTTCTTGTGGGTGTTCTAAATCACCTGATATCTGAAACCTTCTGAACAAAAGCAATACACAAAATAGAACACAGTATTTTGGTGGTTGAATCTGCGTAGATAGTCTAACCAAGATGAAGGAACAAACATTACTTAACAATAAAATAAAGGACTGAAAGCATAATCAAAGAAGTGTTAAGAGTAGGAAAACTAAAAATATTCATTCCTACAAATCAATAACACAGTTCAAACCTTACAGATTATATACTATTCTGCTCAAGCATTGGAAATGAGAATGTTTCTCTTAGCATAAACTAAAAGCAATGGATGCCAACTCCACCAAACCTAGATTTCTCTTCTTGGAACAGTAGATTTACCGATATTGGACCACTAAATCTTTATGAAGTCACTAGAGGAAGTAGCAACTAGCAAGTACCAATTTCCAAAATGATAAAACTCTATGGCCTAAATACAGAATTCTCAAATGAAATATCATATAGGTATATCATGTGTAGCAAATGACAGCAACAAATCAAAAGATATTTAATAATTATTCACAAGATGAGTTGTATCCAGTTGAGGAATCAGTTTACCAAACTTAGAAGCTTTGGCTTGTCATGTGTGGAAAAGGCAATTTCATGCATTGGCCTGCAAAAAAATAAATCAGTATTTTATAGATCATACAAATATGAGATAAATGGTGCACATCTATTGGATTGAAAAAAGATTGTTATCATCTGAAGAAAATGTGAGAATTTCATAATACGTACACAAAACAACCATTAATCTCACTACAGATTGGTGATATAAACTATGAAAACATAAGTTTACCATGATGTAACCACATTAAAAAGGAAAGGTTAACTAGCAAGCAAAACACATAGCTAAGAGAACATACCGACACCCAAAAAGCATATTGTTTTTAACAATCACTAATAAAATAACATTCAGTATTTTAAAAATTAAAATCAACAAAAAAAACGCCAATGAAACTTTTGTGCACACGATAATAAATAATGAAATGCAGGAATTATTTGGTTACACTGAGACTTGTCAGATCTTCTTATATGTGCATAGACTCAACAAAACTGTGTTGAAACAACTGGAAGTACCAAAGTGAATAATACTTAACATGTCTTAAACTAGCAAGCTGGATCTTGTTTCTAGTGTCTGGACCCTTTTCCCATTTATAAGATCATTCCCTTAATGACCAAATCTGATTCAGACCATCTCTGCCAAAATCTATCAAACGTATATTTGTGCCACCATTCCCTGTTCCAGAGTATTCACCAAATATCCAAATGTGCGTTTTCTATGATGTTGTCATATTTTAGTAGCAGATGAAGAAACGATTTCAAGTTTCAACCAGCTTCTGTTTGTTTTATAACGAAAGATGTTGTCTTTGATCACTGTTGTACTCATATCCAGCAGCCTCCTTGACTAATCCACCCAATTGAAAGAGAAATTATGTGGCTAACTGGTGTCATTTACTGAAAAAAAAAAGTGCCATTTACAGCTACATAAAATGTGTCCAAAGAATAAATAAGATTGGAAACAGAGTCAATCCTGGATAGCCTTTAATGACCAACAGCTGCTAACATGACAGATCAAAAGACATGTACAAGTCACTTCAAGGACAGCTGTTCACTGACCAAATATTATAGTGCTTGTTCAAAAAAATGCATATATTTGATGGTTCTTATTCTTTCATGAAAAGTAAATGTACAATAAAAAGATTCTATGTTCACCAGCAAAAATATTTTAAAAATCATTAAAAAATTCTTCGATTGACTACTAAAAACAAAAGACAGACAAATATGTATATGTACAGAGAGAGAGAGAGAGAGAGAGAGAGAGAGTTTTTGGGCGTTGGATAAAAGTAAATGACATAAAACTTGTATGAACAATCAAATCTTTCAAGTTAGTGATAAACTAATGCCACATGCGATGGACAACAAAATATACTTAGAAGTCATGAAAACTGAACGATCAAACTCCAACAAAATCAATGCTAAAAAACAATGTAATTTGGGCACCCACATACCCAATAGGACAAGAATAGAAAACTGAAAAGATATAAGGACACAGATTCCTCTCACTTCATTGAAATATGCATCGAGCAGTCAATTGCAGTATAGCTAGTGCACCAAAGATTGTAAAGCTTGTTGAATTTAATGGGACCTATCGTTCGGGTCTAAGTAATTACCGGACAACTTTTAGAAGTTCATACACTAGCAAAATCAAAGTGTCTTTTATTATATAGGTACGATCACGAAGCAACATAAAAAACGGGACAGAGAATACGGAAAAACATAACCTCAGGAATTGTGGAGCATTAGCAACACTATCTCCATCATGGTATTGTTGCCTGCTGGCTTCAAGAGCAAGAGCCTCGAGATTAGGCGACGAACCAAAGGCAGGAGGAGGATGAACACTGATGATCATATGGGTGTGTAAAAACATTATTGTGGATATACTAACAGACACAAGAAATATAAGTGGAAACATAAGAGTGGATAAGTTGGAAGAGAAGTAAAAAACATGACAGAGAAAATCTTTTATTGGGAAACATGTAGTTGGGGACAAGGAAATAACTGCACCTTTGCCTGATGTAGGTTGAAGTAGACTGTGCATCTCCCATTTCTGGCGCATTAGAATCGGAAGAATCAGCTTGGTTTCCATCAAGAACTGGAGTAACCTAAAGAACCCATTGATCAAGTTATAGAACTACAACGGAGTAAAGGAAGTGATAGATAAACCAGAAACAGCTACTTAAGAAAGAATAAACTAGAAAAAGCTACTTAAAGAAGAATATTTATTAACGCCTATTATTACATGGAAGTTTGGAAAAGTAACATTCATAAGATATCTAAATTTAGACACTTGTTGCAGACTAATTGAAAAATGTCAATGAAGGTCAAAACAAGTTCTAGATCATGTCATGGTTTCATGTGATCCAGTTAACTTCCACACATTTGATCAGTCATTTTGGAGCAAGAAAGGATTTCTGTGCTTACTAAATAAAGAAAGGCTTTATTCGGTAGGACTAGTACTTCTTTAGGTACTAAACTATGATCAAAGGCTTTAATTAGTAGGACTAGTACTTCTTTAAGTACTAAACTTTATTATAAATTTAAGGCACTCTCATTAAAGTTTAGCCGCCAGCTAATTACATTAACTGCATTCAACAAATACAGTCAGACTATATGGTATATCTATAGGAATTATAGTTCGTGCTCCAATGTTAAAGTGACAACTTGATCCAACTACATATTAACAGATACATTAAAGAATAAGCATCAGAAACCTTGGTAATTAATATTCAAGAACATTAAAAGAATCTAATATGAATTCCTGAAACTAAAGGAGTTGATAAAATGATAACTGATCATTACAAGCTTCCAATCAACAAATGGCATTACAGCCCAAGAGTAACAATATGAATATGATTATCCAACGATAGAACCAACTTAAGTCACCAAGTCCAAAAAGAAACTCATACATCTGTTCATATTAATTGAAATAAGCGTATGTGTGTTACACGCTAAGGCTTTCTATACAAGATTTCAACTGAAATCCCATGAAAAGACACTGTTTTCTCATACCGTCTAGATAAATAATGTTAATTTCAGCCTGTCAGGCTTGCATGGCTTCGTATAACACCTAATGTAGACCTATAGGAGAAACAAAAATGCTGTACCAGTTTGGAATTATTCAAAACTGCATTCATCCTATATTGAGTAGTTTGAGAAGTTTGTTAAAGCAAAATCTAGCATTCAGATGGGGGAAGAGTTGTTGTAGCTCGTACCTGCACCAAGCGAACAGAAAATACGGGCCTATTGTCAGGTTCTTGAGCCAGTTCCAGCAAGTTTTTATGCATCAGTACATCCTCTGCCCTCTCCACGTTTACATCCAAGGCATACCTGCAACAGGAAGAAGTTGCAGATCAACAATTGCTTGGAGAAAAATCATAGCCACAAGATTGACCAAAACCCAGTACGAATGTGCATCGACGACTTTGCCTTATCCACGAAACTCATATTTCTGTACGAATAATTCCACGGAACCCTAACGATACGAGGCAGCGCCAACAGATTACTTTTACTCAATAAAGAATTGGAGCAGACCCTCAGAACAAGTCAACATGGAACACGGTCGACACAAGCACCACGACCGCGTGGATTTTTATGCGAGAAACGACCCAAGAACACAACTTTTCCAAAGAAAGGATAGCCAAATCAAGAAGGTGGCGGATCAAAAAGGATCGACGAGTCAGTGCCGCCACACGTAATCGGGCAAATAAAAAGGGGGAAAAGAACGCAACCTATCGAAACCGAAAGAGGCAGACGGGACGTGGGATCTACCGAGCCGGCAAGCGATTGAAATGGTTCCACAGCCCGTCCTCGAATGACGGCGACTGCACCTCGGGCCGCCCTGCCTCCCTCAGGCGGCGGAGGACCTCGTTGTAGACGTCCATTTTATGGCGCTGCTGCTGCCGGTTGTGGGTGTGGGACGAATCCGCCGCCGCCCGGCTGCCGCAGCTCTCGGTCGCGTCCTCTATCGCCATTCAAGAATCCAAACCCCCCAAGAAACCCAAACCCCTCAAGAAAGATCCACTCTTGGGCTCCTCAATGCGGCCCCTGTTCGTGCGAAGGATCCGCTCCTCAGGCGACGGACGGATCGAGGCCGCGATCGCCCATGATTCACGTAGGACGAGGCGACCAGCACAGAGAGAGAAGCGTGCAGGACGGCAGATAGGATACGCTTAAATTAAGAGGAAAGTAACGGAAGCGGAAAACAGAGCGAGAGAGAGAGAGAGAGGACGGCGAAAGATTTGAAGGACACGACGCAAAAGCGAAGCTTGCGGCAGTGGATTTAATATGCGATGCTTATCCCATCCTTTTAATGTTCATTTTTCATATTAGTCCTTATACAGTTCTAAAATATCTTCTCCCATCCCTTAGTGTCCTTTTTACATATTAGTCCTTTTAAGTTTAAAAATAACCAATTTACCCTTGTAAATATTATTACAGCATAAATATAATATATATTCCTCCAAATACTATGTTATGAATCATAATAATAGTTAATAGTTTATACTGTTTGGTTTGAGCTAAAAAAATACAAATATAAACATCCTATATTCATGATAAATTTTAAAAAGTATTATTTTTTTTATGATATGTTAATTAATAATCAAATAAGAACTAACTGATGAATATATATATATATATATATATATATAGTAAATCTAAATATTCTATGTATGTGCTGATGTTTAATTTTCTATCAAATCAAACATGGAAGATTTAGGGAGCTATAATTAAAATAGGGGGTAAGGTGAAAAGAAAAAGATTTACCATGGATTTGGCCTATATATATAGTTCATGAAATAGTAGATAGAAATTTGGGTTTGGGTCTCAAAAAGAGCAGTATTTAATTATTTGAACTTGACTAACTATCTTGATATCCAAAAGAAATCTATAGATAGGATAGTATTCTCATGAATTTTATCATACCTAAAATACAAATCCATGCATCCAAATTGGATTTATTAGGTTCTCATGGTCTTATCTTGATATCCAATATCTTAAGATATTATTTTAGAATAATATCCAATATATATTTCAAAATATAAAATTATTTTAAGATAGTATGTATGATAAATCCAAAATCTATAAAATTATAGGATGATATCAAGATAGTATTAAATTATTTTAAATATATTTTTTGAATATATTAATTATAATTATTATTTTAATACTCAAAGAGCATGATTTAGTTGAAACTAAGTTGCTAAACTAATGTAGTTTTCCTTTAGAAAGAGAAAAGTGTTGGTCAACCTTAAAACTCACCCAACAACACATAGGTTATCCACCATTCTCTCTCTCTCTCTCTCTCTCTCTCTCAAAACTATATATATTTCTTGTACTAATCGGTAAGGCACAGTTTTTGTGAACAATCACACCCTATTAGAAACTATAATTTGCCTAACTTTTCTTGACAAAGTGTTATGAGTCATTTCCAACTAAACACTAAACGTCCTCTCTCATGGCCATTATCATTATCTTGTCATGAGTCATCTGACCTTCAAATGCCTTTAATCATTTTGAAAGATATATGAATCTGAGTCCTCATCAAATTATATATTAGAAAAATAAGTCTACAAGACATATATTCACTCACTTTGATAAAATAATAATAATAATATTATTATTATTATTATTACTTTACTTGAACCAAAGACTCTCTTCCAATATAAACAATCCAATGGGTCGAGGATCATCTTGACAATGACAATTGGGAACACAATTCTCGAACCAATACCAACGAACTACCCATGACTCGATAGAGAGATATATATATTATTTGTATTAGTCAAAAGGATAAGAGCTTGACTAGCTTCATATTTGTTAGCTTTCCCATAACTCCAACAAGAAAGAAAATAATATAATAGAAGGAACATAAAGTATTTTTAATTTATAATGTTTTAGATCTATCCAAAAACACTTATTTATATTAGTCAAAAAAATAAAATATAATTTTTTAAAACAAAGAAGAGATCAACCATATCCCAACAAATCTTCTCATACTCATCTATTTATCTTGATATAAATATTTATATTTTATTTATATCTAATCATAACTATTTAAATTAATTTTATCATATTTCCTTAATTTAAAATAGTTATAACTTAAAAGTTATCTTAAAAAAAAATCAAAAATTTCTTTGATAAAAACTTTTATAAGATGTTAGTAAGTTGGTCATTGGTGCTACATTAGTCCGTTTGAATTTATTTTTTATCAATCAATTCATAATAAAATGATGTCGGTCTTTAATATGTTAGTGCGTCCATAAAAGATAAGATTCTCCTAATGATAGACATACTGTCATAGTATATTTTAGTTGACCCATCTTGCTTTTCTTAAATTTGTTGATGTTGATGTCGATATGATTCAGAGAAAATTCTTACATCTTTTCGTATGTGCTTATTTATTTGATCTTTTTTATCTTCAATAATATTGAGATCTCGTAGATCATACTCAACAAAATTATTTTCTATTAAATTTCATAATCCTTATGAAATAAATAAAAATTTTTATTTTAATAATATAAAATAGATAAATTTTATCTTTAAAGATAGGAAAAAGTTGATTAGAGACACTTACTCTAACGCTTATCATATTCTTATTTTCTTTTTCGTACTCTTCTTGATCTTATTTGAACCAAACTCTTTTTAGAACTTAAAAAAGAAAGGGAGATAATAGAAGGAACGTAAATTACTTGTAATATGTAATGGTTTGATTCATCCAAGAACATATATTTATATTAGCCAAAAAGATTATATATATATATATTATAAATCAATCATAGCCCAACAAATATCTTTATCCTCATCTATTTATTCTAATATAGATCTTTATTTTTTATTATATTTAATTATAACTATTTAAATTAAATTACATCGATGCTCTGTTATCCATGCATATAGACGTAATCCACGTCTTAATCTGCCAAGTCTACTGCCGGCATGAATTCCTTGTTGGATCATCGACCGTCGTTTTGGAGATGAGAACGATGTCGCATTCAAGCTTTAAAACCAAAGGCAGAATCATATCTTAGCGCCTCAACCGAGTCAACAATTAATGGCGTTGCATCGCCTCCTTCACGCATGCATGCATGCGTATTCTTCCAACGATGACGACGATGCCATAAACGGCGTTATCAACAGCAGATTGCGCAGCATTTCCTCTTATCAGGAACACTGCAACGTAGACCTTCTTCAAGGAATCGCACGTGGGAAGAAAGCGCGGCTTTTGGAGGCGGCGACGCCGCCTCGTTCGACCACTGCGGCGAATACTCGTCGCACAGTCGCTGAAGTCTTTGAGTTCTACACTCCATCAGGAAAAGGAGCAGATCTTATCCATGATTGCTTCTCTCTCTCTCTCTCTCTTTCAAGATTTATCTTTATCTCTCACGGGGTTCTTTTGATTCATGAAGTTAATTATATATATATATAATAACAAATTATACAAAATATGACAAAGACAAGTGATGTATACTCATTGATTTAAACAATTTTCTCCCCTACTAACTATTACTTTATTAATATTTTTTATAATAGTGTGAATACATGTATTAGACACCATATTATTTAGATACGATAGTTAGAAGATATAAAATAATTAGAATGGTGTGAGAAGAATTAGAAGAAAATTTAAATATTTATAACTAAACATATAATTTTTTATCAAACTTAATGACAGAAAAAGATGCATGTAGCCAACCTCAAGTAGTCGGATAATAATTATTGTATTTGTTGGTTCATGAAGTTATAGTACGAAATCATATGAATGGATTAATCGTCGATCGATTAACCTATTTTAGCAGCCTGATGATATGAATTTTTCACAAGTATTTGGCACAAAGCATGATTACTATGCATAGCATTTGAGGCTTTGGTGAATCCTAATATCATCAATATAAAACTTCAACACGAAAACACACACTCATAATTAAGTAAATTATTGAGAACAAACAGTAAGAAACAGCATGAGAATTAATGTGAGCTATGTAAGGATAATTAGATGCATCTATGAGATGGCTTTGTGACTTGGGTTTTGCTCTGTCATGGGCTTTTCTGAGGTCTTCTCCTGTGCATTCCAAGAGTGAAGTGCATGTTCTTCCTGCACACTAGCTTTCAAGGTTCCTTCATATAAGATGGTAAAGCTGAACTCTCTCCTTTTAGATTTTGAAGTATTATAATGTTTTATCAATCAATATATATATGTTAAATCAGATATTTAAGCTGAAAATACTTGCATATCCATACCCTGTGTCATTTGCAGCCTTGACTGTGCTCAGAGTGGGTCAAAGTGCACCACAGACTTTTCAGACACTTGTTCTTCTTCCTGGAAGAGCAAATCCAATTGCTATCCTCATAAAGCTGGTAATCATTTCAGATGTCAGACTTGTACAGCACTCACAAGTTGAACATCACTCACAAGCATCAGAGCTGGCTGGGCCTCCAAGTGGATCAGCACCTGCCACAAATCATAGACGTTTCCACCCTTTGAAGCAGGAAATGGATGTGGCTGAAGCAAATGCTGTCCTTCACGACCCTCAGCAGATTTGACTTCACTGAGAACTTTAGCTTTCATCATTGTTGGAGATGAGAATTTGGCACAATTATGAATGGAGCAAGTGGCCACTGACATTACAGGGAGGAGAATCATGTCATTTTCTCCATGGGAGAGAACATATCTTTTACTGCAACTGAGAGGGTCTTGCATACAAAACATGTCAGAGTTTGCCTTCTGAGCACTCGATGATTTAGCAGAGCAGAGAGTCAAAGATCAGTCGATGGAAGAGAAAAAATCAGATTAGGCACAGTCTCCCACCATCTTAACCAGATGCCAAAGAACAAGACAACAGTTCCATTATGGCATTATCTTTGGTTGTCTAAATCTACACTAAATGAAGCTGAAAGATCGCGTCATCTGACCACTTTGACATAGTGTTGGAAGCCTCATCAAGTAAGCATTCATTCTGCACTACAACTACTGCTATACTACAAAACATATTTATGATTGTAAGCTCACGCAAGTAGTGCATCAATCTTTCATGTGGATACTCATCTCCCGCTAAATTAATCTTGTGCAGTGAGGAATCCAGGTGGTGTTGCATTCTTGCTACAGTTTCTTTGGCCTATCACAGAAGGGATTTGTAAACCAGTTAGGTGGAAAATTAAGGCACAGATTGCATGCTGTCTCATCAACATTTGTACTTAATTGTTATCCTGTCCTAACAGTTCAGCGTCAGAGTAAGACGACAATTCCTGAATCGAGTGCTGATGGAGATTTCTTAGAAGGCCACAATATCCATGTCTGAGTGATCTTGACGAACAAATGTAGTAGTAGCATACAACTTCATCTTCAATCTTTTGGTGGAGATTTGTTCCAGAAAGAACACAGCAAGTTTGGTCGGGAGATGCAAGCATACAACAATCTTGTCAAGGATCATAAGCACAAAACTTCCTCGCATTGATACATGGATCAGCTCTCACCACCATGTGAAGCAGATCGACACAAATTCTTGGGAGATGGAGATGAACATGGCTCAGCAGTCTGCTTCTCCTACAAACACCTTCCCCCATAGCCTGCACTCTCTAAGAGTGCCTGCTTCATGTCCTCGGCGCTAATGGCTGCCCTCTGATCCGTGACCTGCAACACAGCCGACCGCAGACCAACATGACCAACTCATGGCTGCAATTGAAGAGATAATGCTGTCCATCTTACCTCGGAGCAAGAAGCTTGCATGCCGAAGTCATTGAAGCAGCTCACGACGCACTGTTGGATCTCCAGTCCCAAGGCCTCCAGTGTGCCCACCGTGGAAAGCAGCAGACCTGGCTTGGCAGCGCAGCAAATCTCTATCCGGGTGTCGTCGTCTCTTCTCTCGACGTCGAACTGCAAGATCGTTGGCTTGGATTCTTAGATTCGAGGCCTGTCGATAAGATTTAGGTCGAAGCAAGGGCAAAGAGGGCAGCCGTGTTACGTACCTTGGGGGAGTTCCTCACTAGGATCTCGTTGGAGTTCAACTCCTTGAAGATGCTCAGTAGATTCGCCTGCTCAGGACCGACGTCGATCTCCTCCTGCAAGCGCTTGATCCTCTCCAGGAGCTCCTTCATGTAGTCGATGGTGTCCCCGAGAATGGATGTCCTGTCCATCTGGTGAATGCGGCTTGTTCTATCAGTCCTCGGGAGCAGGAGAAGGAGAAGAAGAGCTCGAAGACGACAACTCACCTTGCTGATCTTAGGGACGACGGATCTCAGCATGGAGAGCCTATCGTTAAGCCTTTTCCTCCGCCGCCGCTCCGCCATCAGGTTCTTCGAAGGCATCCCTTCGAGCCTCTTCTTCTTCCTCTCCACACAGCCGCTCAATCCAAACATCGCCGGTGGCGCCTCCGTGGACCGCCACTCCCCTCGGACGAGACCAAACTCGGCGTCGTCCAGCGTCGACAGAACCGACGAGGACTGGATCTCCGACGGCGCCCCCGCCGACGAGGAGTACACGCCGCCGGGCGGACAGCACACTTCACTCAAGCAGTCGAAATTAGGCGGCACGGCATCGAACGCCGTCAAGCTCGGGGCCGTAAGCGCGGGGCTCTGCTGGAAGCAGTCGAATCCGCCGTCACAGGAGAAGAACTCGCCCATTCCTGCGGGGAACGAGTCCCACGCGTCTCTTCTCAGTGAGAGCAGCTCTTCCAAGAAGCCATGCTCGTCGAGCTCCATCTCTGTGGCCTTGCCTGCACAGCTTGCACTTACCCGAGGATTTATATATACACAACCTTAAAAAGAACATTTATTCCCTGCAATAAATGCAATGAGGATCGGAATGGAATCTGTCTCCGTCACGCTCGAATACGATGGGATAATTGATGCATTAACTTTGTTGACTTCAAATCATTAATTAAAACGTTTAGATCGAAATGATATTATGACGACTGTGATATCAATCAAATGATCACGATCGGAGTCGATGAGTTGAAGCCAACTGGTTAGCACAGTCTGATCATGAAAAGATAAATCTTATAGGGGGAAGATATAATAATGAGAAGGACTGAGGGGGTTTGACGCACAAGCGTGTCGGGAACGAAAAGGATGGAGGTGGGGGAGGAGAGGCCATGTCTGGTTCGCTGCACTTGTACGTTCGCACGTAACGGGGTGTGCAAGCACTGCAAGCAGGTCACGGCAGCCAGCCGGGGGAGGAGGGGGGGGTTTCGTATTGGGAGGCTGGTGGGCGCTCGGCCGGCCACTGGCCTTGCGCAGGGGTGCAAGTTGGTGGTGGTGTTGTGGGGGAGGGAAGCCTCGCTTGGAGGTCTCTCCTCTGGGCTCCCTGTGGAATGTTTCTTGTCTCCATGTCTCTTCTTCTTGTTACTGCTGCTACTCGCAAAGCCCATCGATCTGCCTCCGATTTGTCTGGGATTTAGTGGAAGCTTGCTCTTGTCAGCTCAAGGATTAGAGTGGAGTGTGATGGGACTATAGATTGTCTTGTTCCTTCTCTCCCTCTCTCTCGTTACCGGTGCTTACTCGAAATCTTTAAGCTATAGTTAAGGTGGTGAAATGCGGTAGGTTTATATATAGATTATTTTTCTCTCTGTGGTTTAGTGGAAGCTTACTGTTGGTAACTCAAACCTTTGAGCTTCAGTTAAGGGGAATGCAGTGGTCATCAAACACGAGGATGAGGGAAGTCCTGCTTGATAGAGTGCATGGAAATGGGAAGGAGAAGGAGGAGAAGAGGACTACTCGCTGCAACCCAATACTGACCAAAGTTCAAGTTCATCGTGTTCCGTTTATTGTGGTGGCTAACGTGCAGTGCATGTGGAGCATATCTTATTGTTGTTGCCTCAGGACAAGTCCACAGAGGAGAAGGCCAGACTCTGCTTGTGCTTAATCTGATCGAGTCAAGGAAAAGTGCGAGAGGAAACAATCTACTTGGGTTGTGGTGGTGTCACGTAGAACACAAGTGGAAGAGTAATCCACACGTTTATCCACTTTAAGAATCAAACGCATTCATTTCATGCAATCGAAACAAGTGCAACTACGGTGACTGTGTTTGTTTCATTCTTCGTTTCGGTGTCGTTGTCCATTCTTATATGGAACATAGGAGCAGGAATTCGGCACCCTCATCTGCCTAATCTGGAGGAAAGAGAGCTGTTCTTGTTTTCAGAGATTTATCCTTGGATTAAATGGAAGGTAATATAAGTGAAAGATTAAAAAAATGAAGGTTAGAAGGAATTTGGCTTCACAGAAATGAAGTAGGAATGGAATGAGCAAATCACCAAGAACAAGATCTCCTCTGGGGCACTGGAGCATCATAGCTTACTCCACCTTCCTTCCTGCTCGAGGCATAGAAGAGCATTTATTTATGTTGCTGCAATGCTCATGGAACTGATGTGATCTTGCAAATTTCCAGTTGGGATGTAAGAAGGAAGGACAGAGACTGGGTCGGAATTAGTGTTGGCAATGAAAAAGTTGACGCATGTGTTGTTGAACGAGACGAAATCAGCTGCATCAATTCTGCTTCCTTTTCTGCCGAGATCATCGTAGTCACCGATCCGCCTGCAGGTTCGTATATAAATATAAAAAAAGCCAAAACCAGCATCTTGTCTTGTCTTCTCTCTCTCTCTCTCTCTAATAATGCGGCATAAGTCCATGGTCAGGCATAATTAATTTGATCCCATGATCCTTCCATCACCTCAACTAAAAGAATGGAAAGGTCGTACCGGTGTTTTGGTGGCTCAGATTCTGCAGGAACGCGGAAACGCAACGCAGAGGAAGGAAACCCAGCTGCAATCACAAAGCTTGCGGCAGCAAGTAATCCATCGTCACATGCATCACTGTCAGATGGAATATTTAATGATAAGCATCCGAGGTGGCTCTTCCACCAGGATCTTAATAATATCAAGTGGATAGATAGTATCCAGTTTCGATCTGATAGTTCATTGCAGGTTGCATGAGGAATTCCGCAGTAGCACGATTCCGGGGAAGATCTCTTTAGGGGTACAGAATACGTGGGAGGATCTGCTTGATGGCTTCCCGTCGACGAGACCGTGACTGCGCGCGCAAAAACCATGGGAGTGCAATTCCAGCCCACAATATTGTTCGCACCAACCATTGCAATACCACCCAGCACGCTACTCCCTCGCTCTCTCTCCAATTTTTATCGTTCTTTCGTCCTCCCATCCCTAACTCTTTTGTCGTGTGGTCCTTCTTACGAGACGCAGAAGGAGACAACGTCCAGAAAAGGCCAGGAGAGGAGACTCTGCAGGCTCTTCTCCTCTACGGGTTTTGGTTTGTGTTATGCGGTGAAAAGTAAGTAGGTCACGGTTTCTGCTGTTCGAGTCGTGCAATCGAACAGTCGAATAGAGAGAGAGAGAGGTAAGTAGATTCGCGTCTACCGTCGTGGTTCCTGGGGGAACTGGTGTCAGCAGAGAGCTACCGTAGACGACCTGGGGCGGATGCCGGTTTCGTGGGTTGAATCGTGGCAAAGCGAACAAAAAGGGGGCGAAGGACGAGGCGAAGGAGACATCGCCGCGGAGAGCGGCCGGCACCGGCACGTGATCATGTGACCTTCGTAGATAGGTGGTGGCTCTTCTGACCGCATCCTTGTTGCTCCCTTCGCGCCATATTGCGTCCTTGCGCTGGCTGAGTCGGCTCCGTGATGCAAACCGACTCGGATCAAATGAGACCAGCTAAAAAGGAACTTTAGGCTAAGCCAAAAAGGATCAAACAGAATTGCCGAGAAGTAGAAGAATGGCCGAATTATACCAACACGGCTTCTGACAATCGACTGTCGTGCGCCCGCTGGAATCGCCTACCTGCTCCACTTTTTCCAGTGGAATTTCACGAAAACCTTCACTCTTCAGGCATCACCCTAGGTCGATGGTGCACAGTATTGTCTCCCCAAACACAAACAGGCACATCCACAACACCACCATAGTTCTGTTTTACACGAGCAGCAGAGAGGGCCAAGTTGACCAACTTGTTCTACATACACTTCAACAAAAATAAAAATAAAAGGGGGTCTTAAGTTGTTAAGAGTAGAAAACTACAAGAAGCAAAAGCACATAATACGGAGTCCAAAGTCCAAAACTCGCGCACCAAACATACAAAGCTAATTTGACTGCAAACCAGCTACTCAACTGACCACCTGGTTCAATAATAAAATCAGATAACTGAATCTACCTAGCATAGCCATTTGCACGACGCCCATAGCCTGCTGCTGCTCTCTCTGGGCTTCTGTCATAGTAAGGTGACCTAGATCGCTCTCTTCTAGACCTACTATCATAGTACCCTGAATAATCATGGCCACCACGATAAGGTGACCTTCTTGGAGATCTAGGATAACCACCACCATAGTCATCACGGCCGTAGCCTCCGTGGTATCTTCCACGATCACTTCGGTGACCTGCGCCAGGGGCATCAGAAGCAAAGATCAGGGGAAGAAACATAACAAAGTAGTGTGAATGATACTTTAAAAGGTCCAAATATTCATTGCCAGAAGGCAGTAACCAGTCAAGATTACAGTTTAACAATTCCAGACCGAAAAGAAAAAAAAAAAAACTTACTATCTCGTGTGCTAATCACACCAAGGTACTTTCCAGGAGTAGGAGTTCGTGGGCGTCCCCTCCTTGACTGATAAGAAACAAGGAATGGTGTAACTTTTTTACATGTGCACAAAAGGAGAATGGTGAAATATATGTCGCTGAGAACAATAAAAATAAAGAAAGAAGAATATCACAGTCAAATTATCAGTAGGTCAAAAACCTATTTAAGCATTAAAGACTAGGAAAACACAAATAAGAAGTCATGACAAGTAGCCTTAGTTGAATGCTACAAATGAGGTACCATTAAGTCCAACTATGAGTTGGTAATGCCCGTTGATTAGTTGTTGTTGTTGTGAGAGTTGAAGATGAATGCTGATGTTGTTTAGTTGGAAATTTTTGCTATGTTAAGTTGATCTGATGATGCATGGAAAACTGTTAGGCTGGCCATTCATCAAGCTGTATGAGTTAAGGTGGAACTCATCATCTTTGATTGCTGCCAAAATATCTGACCCAATGTCTTCTGAATGTAACCAAAAACACCTTCAAGTTAAGGAAAGAACAGGCAAACATGCCAAAGTTAAAGAAAGGAAGGCAATGTGCCTTGCACATAAATATCAGTGCAGCAATGTAGCAGTTGTACCTTCTCCACTGTTATGTACCGTCCTTCTAGAATTGACTGATTGAGATATTTGATACAACGGTCTGCATCTTCGGCGGCGTCCATGGTCACAAATGCAAAACCACGGGAGACACGTGTCCGAGGTTCGACAACCAGGTGACATCCAACAACCTACCAAAATAAAAAATCATGAGGACCACTTAAACACATACAAAAAATATTTAGCAGAAACCGACCTTTCCCTCCCTAGAGAAGTGATCCTCCAACTCCCTTTCTGTAACCCTGGATGATAAGCCTGTTACATAAAGAGTATTTCCAGGATTGACTGCTTCATTCCTGGGATCACATAATTCAAACAGTGACAAAAAAAAAACCCTCAGAAATCAAACATCATATTTAACAAATTACTAATTAATAGACTTAGCAAATCAAAGAGGAGAAAGAACCTGCCACGACTTCTGGATCGCGACCTTGTTCGGATTCTGGGCCGAGGGGACCGAGATCTGGACCGGGATAAACCCCTAGATTGAGATCTTGATTTAGGGCGGCCCTTGTATGGAGATGGGGAACGAGTGTACCTGAAAACACACTAGGTAAGCAAAGTTTCACAAACTGAAAAAAGCTAAACATGTTAAGAGTTCTTAAAGCATTTGTTCTGAGTTTCTGATGCATCTAAGCTGATAAGCAATATTAAAAAGGTTACCAAATTAAGAAAGGACACCCATCACAACAAAGCATCATGTTAAAGTTCAGTTGAAGAGTCTGATCCAAAACAACAAAAGGTCTCAGCCACCTGGTTCAGCTGGTTGAAGGGTCTAGTGATTATCACAGTGATTGCTTCTAACTGTTCACTAAATCCAAACCCTCATCAAAGAATTAAATATATAGGATGGTTCATAGCCATGCCTAGAAAGGTTTGCAAAAAGTTATATTTATTAGCAGAAAAGTAAACTGAATAAGTCAGCTGTGGTGTAATGTATCAGGCAAAGTGCACAATTGTTAACTACAACTAATAAATAAACAAGTCAAGTATGCTATAAAGCAAGAAATCACGTTTGATAATCAAAGATAACATATAGCCATGGGTTGTCATCATCACTTTCAGGTACTTTTTGTGTACGGTTGTCAATCTACATCCATCATCCACTAGGATGGCTAATATAACAGATTTCTCTTGTTCATGTTCATCAAATCAGGGACCAATTAGCAGGACAATAAAAAAAATTTACAACCTAAGATGAAAAACTCGGAAGGATAACATCCATGAAATATCAAATTTTGGTGATCAAAGATGCCAGAAAGGTCTCTCTATTCTCTGCAAGTCAAATCTAATGACACCATATCCCAAGATTTTGAGCATCAAAAATTGGTACAAGGCTGCTGCTGTTATTCAATAATGAATTCATAATTTAGATTTTTCTAAGAAAGAAGAGCAACTTTTGACATATAATTCATGTTAAAATTCTTTAGATATAATCTTTAGCATGTGACAAAATTAATAACTTTATCAAACTAAATTCTTTCTCCCTCACTCTTTCCTCTATCCTATTTGCAACAAAGCATATCAGAGCAGAAGACCATATAAATGATAGATCTTGAGGATCTTTATAGGAAGATCTAATCAAGGAGGTGAGAAACTGGAACCACTAAGAACCAATCCAAATGAGTGATAAAATTGCTAGCAACTGGGGGCCCTTATATAGATTCTTGGATTCAGGCCTTCCAACTCTCCTTGTCCGGACATTCAATCTTCTCTTCCTAGAGTTGAAAATCATTAAAGCTACAAAAAAAAAAGGTGGTGGTTCAAAAATAAAGGGTTAAACTGATACCCCTCATTCATTCTCCTTTGAGTTCTCAGATTTAAAAAAAAAAATCAGAAAACCTTATCATATAACTGGAAACAGTATTCTCCAGAAGCTTCACTACCTTCTTCTAGCATCCGTTCTAGTTCTCAAATGAATGATTGGAATGAAATACCTTGCTAGCGGAAAAAAAATCGTAAGATGTAGAGAAGACTATTTGCTTCAAAAAACATAATATTCCAGGATAAGAAGAAATTATGTTGGCTATGTTGGCAAACCAATTAACATTAATTTAACAAGGAACTGCTTGATGGCTTAGAATTAAACATGTAATTGCCTGCATTTGTTATCTCAATTGCAACTGCAATGTGGTTTGCAGTTACTTCTTGAGCCCCCTAAACTGCATTTCCACATGCAACCCACCTGCATGTGGAACTGCAAGCTGGTTGAAACTTGAGAGCCATCACTCCCATCACCCAAAATGAAGCTTGGAAGATAATATTAAAGCACTGACAGGATAGTTAAATATGAAGGTGGAAGGAAAAACAACCATATCTGTTGATATTGTTTGTTTCATCAGGAAATGACTTTGTTTACTTTCGTTCTCATAGAAATTCCAAATGTTATGTTCTTTGTGATGTTATTACAATCACAAGTACAACCATGTTACTTGGAGAAACATAATTATTGTTCAAACAAAAGGTATATGCTCAGGGAACACATGACATCATTATATCAAGACACTAACCAAGAATTTAAACCAAACAAGTTCAAGAAATATTGGTTTTTTAGTGTGATGCTAATGTATTTCCCTCAAGAAAAAAACTGTTGTCCTATCATAAGTACAAAAGCAAAAGATGCTATGAATTTGGTGATGAGTTGCGGGCAAGTCATCAACTGTAGCTGAAATATGCACATCAACGGAATGAATGAAAATTAAGACCATCAAACTAAATCTCCAAAATGGCTAAATCTTTGTAAAACTATGGGAGTTTAATGAATCCAAGCTAACTGAGAATTTTTCTCCAAGATCCACAGTTCGACCCTTATGGCACCATATGAAATTCCAACATTTACTAGAGGATAGCTGGCGCAAAGATATCATTGTTAATAATTTATTTAAGTGGTTCAGTAATATCTCAATCTTTGACATTCTAGTTATATATGGAGTCTTAGTGAGATTTATGTTCCAGATATTTTAGTTTTGCATTTTGGAGTATCCATGCTTATAAGGTTATCTAACGTCAGTATGAAGACCTGCTTTTACTCATCCTGCAACATTAGAAAACCTTGGTTCTAGCCATCTAGGCAACCAAATGGGATAATATCAAGGCATTTATATAGGTTTACTATAGGCTAAAAGATTTGAGTAATGATCTTTATAAGGAGAGGAAAAGAGAATAAAGAAGAGGTAGAAAGTCACAATGGGAGATTGCCACTTGCATAGGGGCACCAACACAAGAAAGAGGGGAGGAGGAAAGGGAAGAGGATAGAAAAGAAGGGAGGAGAGGAAGAGGAGACAGGATCAAGGGAGGAAAAGAATAATGATCACCTGTGACTTTGAGTGAAGCCACAAGAATTCATGAATTCCTTCATGGTTTTTTTCTTTTTAGTAACAATTAAACTGAAAAGTTTCCATGCATAAGAGCAATTGATGTAACCCATCCCATAAGTTATGGAATGCAATTCCCACATCCAAGTTCATGGGAAGCAAAGATAATTAACTTGAGTTATACTTCATTCAAAGTTTCAAATCACTCCCTAAGGGTAACCTCAATAAACTCTACACTTCAGAGCTACTCCAAAATTTTTCCAACTAAAGCTGGGACAAAAAATATAGAATGCAAAAAGATGCTTGAAATTACAGATAACATCAAAAGCTATACACCAGAATTAAAGATTCACATCAGCCTTTCTTAACTCCACAAACTAGACCTACATATAGCATACGTTGGGAGGCAATATTTGCATTATTGACAATAAAAAGTTATTACATTACACAATAAAAAATTAAGTGATGTCAAATTAGTACTCAGTCATAATTATTCATAGACACTATTAGTCATACATCGACAGATTGCTAGTCCAATCAAAACTAGACCGAAACCCATTTTTGGTTGAAGCACAAACTATGGATGAATCACAACCCCATTACTAGTCATACATTGACAGATTTCTAGTCCAATCAAAACTAGACTGAAACCCACTTTTGGTTGAAAGACGAATCATGGATGAATCACAACCCCATAGCTAAAATCCATAACCAGTGCTAGAAAAATTACCATCAATGACAACTACAGAATTATGAGTTCTATCAATTCTAAGAAACAATAAAAGAAATTTCAATGTGCAACACGTTTACTCCAACAAGAACAGTATTTCTTCTTCAATATTGAAAAATTCTAATATTTTCTATCATATACCAGGCACTTGTCGGATTCCACTTCATAGCAATTGGATATTGGGTGATAATGTTATCTTGCACATCCACTTTCCCTTTAAAAGTGATAAACATCATCAGTTAATCTAATGCCTCTCACTCTCTCGCTCCCACCTCCAACTCCTCAACTACATCTCTTGGAGTTGACATAATTCAAGAACTCATGGTTTTTCATCACATTTCTTGATCGAAACGCCCCAAAAAAGCCAACACCGCAAGATCCATAAAAAAAGAGGCAAACCACCAGAAGTACGTGAAGCCCAGGCAAGTAATAGCTATCAGATAGCCTGTCAAACCAGATCATAGCACGATTCGAAACAAAAACCAGAAGGACAAGAAAAGAACATGATCGACGACGAATATGAGCTCGACGACCGAAAGTTTTACCTCCTGCGTGGAGAATCCACCTGCAAATGAAACAAAGACATAGAAGGGAAAAGGGGGTAAGCAAGATGCGAAAGAAGGAAAGACCAGAAACGAGAGAGAGAGAGAGAGAGAGAGAGCGCACCATTTCGAGGGACGGAAAAGACGAGTCCTGGCGCGAGGTGAAGCACTTGCGAGCGGGCTAGGGTTTCCTGCTTCTTTCTCGGTGGGAGGAAAGAGGAGGAGGAAGTCGTCGGTGACTCGGGTGGTCATTTATATAGACCCCATTGGGTTGCAACAGGATCCGATACAATTGATCCGTTAGCCGAACCCGACCGGGTCGCTACTTAATCGGATCCTAATCGGGGATAAAAACCGGATCCAAGTCAAAGTCAATCCAAAACCAATCCGATATGAGTCCTATTTGTTTAGGTGGACGCAGCGTTGGTGTCATCAACAAAGGCCCACATTTTTTTGGTCCCACTTGTCGCGTACGCGTGAGAGAACACGTCGCCCGTGATAATTGCCGGGTTGATTAAGTGAGTTTATAATAAAATATTTTTTTATCTCTCCTATCTTCTCACACCATTAATAATAATTATTTCATATTTTCTAATTATAACATGCATAAATCTTCTTAGTATATTGTTGATGATACTTCTTTCTAGTTAGTAATCTCTATCAATATTAGCATCAACACTATAGTTTGAAAAGGTTACTTGTGTCACAGAGACAGGAGGGAAGAACTCAGTCACGTCAAAGTTCAAGAGGCAACAACATCATACACGTAGCAAGTAATCGGTATATCCTTTGAGACAAAACAGAGCATAACCTGTAGAAATTGGCATCTCAACAATCTCAACAGGGACAGATGAGAACATTCCCAGAATCTTTGAAATCCTTCAGCCATCACCAGTCATGGTGTTCATTTTAGATAATATAGCAGTTGCAATCTACAAAAGAACTGTTGCCCTTGTATGTTCAAACCATTGGTGTTTGTCTAACAGTTTCAGCCAAAAGATCAAAAGGAGAGTAGACAGATAGGATACAAGTTTAATTCTACAAAAATTAGTACCGGTTAGTGAGCGTACAAGGAGAAGGCCATCATCACAAACCAGATTCGGCAGAAGCAGGAATGCTTCGGGAGCGCCGATAAGATTGCAAAGAGTTGGTAGGAAGATGCTTCTTTGTCTTCAAGCTCAAGCTTCTCAGGTTCTCAGCAAGCAAAGAATGATAGCATGAGGGGTCAGATGCACGGGTGTATATTTTGTGGGTACTACGGAGATTTTGCGACTTCTTTTCTGTCAGATCACCCCTTACAATCTTGCCCGACATATCTCTCGTTAGTTTCTTCTCACTTGTTAGTTTCTTGATGTTAGTTGGTTCATCATCGTCTGTCCAATAACCATTTTCCTGGCTGTCTTGCATGGCCAAGTCCTCGAACTCTTCATCGGACTTGGTTGAACCCTCGTCAACAGAGCCTTCAAGCTGGAAAAGGCAAAACAGAAAATAAGTAATAGCCATGTCCGCAAGGCAGGTGTTGTTTCTTGGCAGTCATATAGCCAAAGAATCAAGGTAAGGTTAAATAAGGGATGTTTTCAGGCAATGCTATTTTGGCTGCTGTAGTCTAATTGGCTTAGCAAATGGCACAAAGACCGGAAAAATACAAGTGGAGATTCAACTTTTAGGCTGTCACAGTGACCATGAGCCAATGGACAATTTTTTGCTCTCAGCTACAAGATATTGACTTGTGAAAATGCACACTAGATACTGATAACCTTGTGTAATTTATAAATTCATAAGCCCGAACACAACAAGGATAAGGTATTGACTTGTGAAAATGCTCACTAGAATTTGGACCTGTCATACATAATTACTCGAGTCATATTTCATTTTTGGATTAGATATTAATCACCTCGTGTAATTTATAAATTCATTTAGAAAAGGATTCATAATTAGCCACTAATATGTATAATCAACTTTGCTCCGAGAAACAAGGGTAGAATTTATGTTATTAACTGAAACAGCAAAAAAATTGTAATCAGATATGTATGCCATTATTTTAGTATAGTTAGTATCCTCATTTGGTGATCGGGTACAACTTTCTTTTCTTCAGTGTCATCTACTGCCTAATATAAAAAAAAGGATTTTGCAACATCCTTTGACCAAAGTTTCATTTTCTTACCTCTTCAGCAATGTCATTCTTGTCGACATCACTTTGATCATCATTACTTTCCTCCTCAGCTTCCTCTTCACTGTCGGGCACCGATATGTCATCCTTGTGCTACACAGAACAAGGGTAAGGCCAAGCCAGCTAAAAGGCATGAAAGAAAAAAAGTAATGGAAGAGGTAAATAATTCCTTATGATGAATGAATCCAAATCCTATATCAAGATATAGTATAGTTCTTTTTATTTCAGTAAAGCAAAAACTTATCTAATTTTAACATGAATTCACTATACAGTTATATGCATCCTGTAGATAAGATCTAAAGTCTATTCCATCATGTGACAATGCTGTGACTTCAGGTGGTTAAGAAAAGGGCGTATCAGAACCAACCAAATGTATCCTAAGCCATTATGACATTCTAGGTGAAGTTTGTCTGAAATGGATGAAGCATCATTGAAATACATATAGCTAGCTGCCATCAATCAAAACACTCCCACATTATCATACTCATCTTTTATCATCCTGAAAATGGATGATCCTTTACCTAAGCATCTTCGTAGACCATCCAGGGTTTAGCTAAGCTCATAAACTTTATTCACTGCAATGTTTTATTTTATAGAATTTTCACATGATCCAAGATCATCACCTTAAATATGCTTTGATACATTGCCAAAGGTTGCCATTCTTATTTCATAACACCTGGGATAGACAACAAATCAACATCACCGGTTGCATCATTGTGGCTCTCACGATTAATTTGGCTGTAAACTGAAATGTGAAGAATCTACGAGGCAATTTTGCACATGCTGATCAAAATTTCTGTGTTGCTAAGTGCTAACTATATCTTATGTAACAGCATGTTATAAAACCAATGTCCAAAAAACATGTCTACAGAATACAAAATGTTGTCAAAGAAAACTACTAAACAAACATATTAGTAAAAGGACAGAAAATTGCCCAATCTTCTCAAAGTGCTACATCAAGACCTGGATAACAAAGCAAATCAAAAGGCTTAAAGAAGTTCATAGAGTGGAAATGTGAAGACCAAACCAAAAAACAACCAAGTTCAAATCAATCAATCAACAAATAACAAGACATGAATTTAATCATAATTAGCTGCTAGTATTTATCTTCATTTTACATATTTTCGATACTTCAAAAAAGTTAGCAACTAATAACATTAGAACATAAGACATTATAGGCATACAAAATTTTGTCAGCTGATCAACATAATTTTAAGTAGGCAACTTGAAGGACATGTGCAACATACCAGAAAATGAGAATAAAAGAATAAGTACCTCTTTCGCAGGTCCTTCGGATAACCTCGGAGAGCTACAACGAGAAGAGAAATATCTGCTACCAGTGTCAATGCAGTCAGCCTTGGAATCATCAATGCTTCCAGTGTGACTGGTGCCACCGGCATCACTAGGCCAAGCACTGATCCCAAAAGTACCAAACTGGAGATTCACTTCCTCTGCCTTCCCTACCTGTAAGGGACCATATATGGTTAAACAGTTCTTTCCTACATTTCCAGACATGATTTTACCATCGGCAGATTCCACAGGCCAAGCCTTGGCAACAGAACCGTCAGTGTTAAATAGAGCCATTAAATGTCTCGAGGACCCCTGTCTCTGAATCAACTTAAACATTCCCTTAGAGCCCATTGAGTTGGCAGTGCATTGTTTCCTGTATTCTTCATTTATTATAGGCACTGTGTTTGTCGTAGAGTCATACAGCTCCTCTCCCGCCAATCGCCTGCGTAGGCAGCTGAAGACTGTTGCATGAATTAGTGCCACACTCCGGTCAACATTTGTATTATTTATTTTGGGCACTAAATGTTTGTTGGCACGGTTGCTGAGATATTCTTGAATCGTTCTGATATTTCTAATGTACTTTACATATTTATTCCTTGCAGGATCCAAAGTCATGTATTTTGCACGTACAGCAAACCTTTCAACGTGCTTGTCCTCATTTGCGATATAGATCATGAATGGTACAACAGACGGATGTTTCTTCATTAAGCCCATCTAGCAAACAAAGTTAAACAAATCATCAAAAATGAAGAGAATAATGAACTAAAAATTCTGCAATGGCAAAAGAGAATCTTTGTAGAAAGATCAGAAAAAAAATTCAGATAGATGAATTAAAAATTAAGTATCTCATAATGTAAAAAAGTATCTGTTTTTAGATGGAATGATAAAAACTAATCTTGATACCACTTCAGTGATCTGTCTTGAGATAACAATATCCTCGTAAGCACTTGACTTTTCAAATAAAATTCTTTAAGTACTACATGCTTGTGTCTCGAGGGGAAAAAAGTAACTCTACCCTTGTTCATATACGCACCACAAAATTAAGGCTCAAATGAACACCCTCAACTACAGCAGATTCTTTCCGGTCTTCCCATGAAAAAATGAGCCGATCAAGGCTATCAATGACCATTTCACTCTGTGCTTTATACCCCTCAATAGCCATTTGCTTTTTACCAATTTTCTCAGCCTCACCAGATGTGTCTAAGAGTTGGTCATCATGCTGTTGATTTGAAGGACCATCAAGTTCTTGCTTAGGCAATGAGTGAGGAGGAGCAGCCAGCTTTTTTGCTTTTCTTTTGGCCTTTGCTTGTGCAACTGCCACAGGATCTAAGCATTCTCCAGCATGATAGGTTGAAGCCCAAAGGAGAGGATTTTGTTTTTCATCAACAAAGCTCCTCATCATATGGCGTATTGAATCAGTCGAAATCACAGTAGTGATGCCCAGTCTGCTTCCCTGTAACAATATATTGTATGCAACATTACAAATTTTGATAAAGCAGTAACCATTGGCAACATATGCTAACCAGTAGAGACTATGGAGTTCTCAATCTTTTTCCATTGTCTATGTTGGTTATGACATGCAAACAGGAGAAATTTATTGACTGTAGTGTACGCTGATAAAAATTACCAAATCCAGAAAACATACACTAAAAAAGGACTATCATATAGAGCACACACATTAATCTAACACCGCTATACAAACAAGAAACTAAAAAGAAGGCATCCGCCAGTGACAACCAAATTTTTGTTCCGAGCCTGTCATTTTGACTATAATATCAATATTGATTTCATAGACAACAAATTTCTTTCCGAAAATATACTCACATGGGGATAGAAAAAAAAAACATAAGCATCATTATCTGTGCAAAACCTTGCTGAAAAGGACCAAAGGACAACTAGACTTATACGAGTGCTGCACAATGAACCATGATTTATACCAACGATCACTGCACCACATTAACCAATGCAGTGTATGAGCAGTCGATTCAGATTTTAAACAAAAGCAATAAGTAAATAAGAACAAATATGTCAGAAATATCAATAGCAAAAATGAAACTAATTACATTTTCTTCAAAATTTTCCTATGTATATATATACATATCTGTACACACCAAAGAAGGGGCAGACAATGACCATAAGCAGATCAAATGCATTTATAATAACACAAACTATTCTGCAAGTTTAAGGTTTAATTACCAGCAAGGCTGAAAGAGTCGACTTGCCACACCCACTTGTACCACATAAAAGAATTGTGACTGATTCCTTTCTTTCCCGGATTCTAAAGAGGAATATAAGATGAGAAGCTTTAGATTATCAAAAATGCAAAAGAGAAGTTGAAATTGCTAGGAGAAAAGAGCTAAAGCAAATTAAACATTATGCTGCAAATGCAAAAAATTCCTGTAACTAATACTTGACATGGGTGAAGAACAAAGTTACAAAGAAACTTTTAGATGGCTACGGTATCCATCTTCCATAAATTCATTAAAGAAACTCTAAAATTATATACCTGTCATCGTAGCAAAATTGAGATACAAATATTCTATTTGCAGAAGTTCACAAAAGGCAGTCGAATTCCTAGGACGATGCAAAATAGTTGGACCTTTATGGCCATGTTGTTGTTGTTGTTGTTGTTGTTGTAATAGTCCAATTCTTAGGATGCTTTTATAGTACCATTCCCCACTCATGCAGAAACCTACAAGAACTGTTTTCCCCGTCTGCCTGAATGTGATCAACTTAATAGAGTGCGTGTAATATGTTTGACATAGATATTAATTATGTTTGCAACACAGTAGGGGAAATTGTTTGCATAAAATTACAAGACACTCCACTAACTACTGACAGGTTCTGAAAATTACATCCCTACCCAGCCTCATTCCCTTGTTAAAGCTGATCAAACCCGACCCAACTGTGCTGATTTGTTGCCAATCCAGTTTGAAACTGCCATCCCTACTTCTTTGTCCTGATTCTTAGACGGTCGATGACTAGTGGTGGCTTGTAGTCCTTGAAACATGGCTGAAGCTTGGGGGAATGTTCCTATGTGTCCGTCCACAATGTGCCAAACTGAACAACCCCGCAACTAGAAATGGAACTTCAGTGTTCATCACTTTCAATGAACTTGGCCTTACATAGAAAGGAGTTATCAGGTAGGACGTCAGCTATACTTTGAAAAGTCACGATACTAGATGACCACATCATATACAGAGACTTGCAGTGAATATCCATTTACTCGAAGAAATCTTTGGCATGTGATCATAATAATTAATCAATCCTAAAGAAAGTATGCATCATTGGAAAGGATATGAAGCAGAAGCAGTATTCAACTTACAAATGATGTTTCCTGCTACAGAAAAGTAATTATTCACATAACTTATTGCAAGTGAAATAAAACTCCATTTATGTCAAATCATCCAGCAAAATATGTAAGTTCCCCCAAGTATTCTACCGAGTAAAGAGAAAGTGCTACCTGCATGCCAAAACCAAGTCTGTTCTTTGATTTGGTCCAACATACTTGTATTCGGAGAGTGCATCACAAACAAGATTCAGGAAAGTGTCTCTTGTAACGAAAGCAGTTGTTTGCCTCTTGTACAGTTCAAATGGGATCGAGCTTCTAGTCTCTACATTTCCTTTAGATGACTGAAGGTTCGCCTCCCTAAGGTTCAAGGGTTCAGCTTGGATACTTCCGTCCCACAAACCTGATACTGACGTCCCAGCAGCATCAGAACGTGAACCATCAGCTGAGCATTTGCTTTGAACAATTTCATATGCCCTTCGACTTATCTGCGCAGAATAATACAAAACTTGTTCCATGAGCCAAATTTTCGTTTATGGTTAATCAAAAGAAAATTTTGACAGCCAAAGTTTTCTTTTTCATTACTCTGCAAAGATTCGTCTACTTTTGTAATTGGATTTTAGCCAAAGAAGTGAAGAAAAGGGATATCTTAACGTAGCAGCAGATTAATCCATCTCTAGGATCTGATACCGATCCTAGAATGAACATACCGATAAATAATGCCCCAACATAAAATCAGTACCTGCAAAGTACCACAGGATTTGATACTACAATATTGTTAGAAATCAAAACATCAAAGAGAGGCATCAGATCGGCAACAAAGAGGGGAAAGAAGCAAGGAGCTGGGTCAAGAAACCTTGAAAGCATGGCGAGGCTTGCATCCGATGAGCTGCAGGGTGCTCTGAAGCACGGGCCGCGTGTAGCGAAACGACCCACCGCCCCTCCCGTCCTCTCCCTCGTTCACCACGACTATATAAATCAGCTTCGGAGACTCCGCAACCACCATCGAACGACCAAAGCCTCCAACTTTCACTTCTCAGACCCAAGCAATTCCCTCGTCCCACGTCCAGAGACCGATTCCAGGGCCTCGATCCGTGTCCAAACACAGAACTAGGGGCGATCGGAGAAAGGGCAACCGCAGATCGGAACGGGGGATACCGAAGCGGCTAAAGAACGGTACAGGGCTAGAAGCCTTTTAACCGCCATTCCCGCTGCTTACCAGATCCGACACGATCACGCCTTCCCATCTGTCCCTCTCTCTCTCTCTCTCTCTCTCTCTCTCTCTCTCTCTCTCTCGTCGTACGTCGTA